CCGAAATGTCATGACGACAGAGCGTTGGCAAGTGGACACCCCCTCACGAAGTACCGGCATACGTACGTGGATGGAGAGCTTTAGAGTTGTTCTTGCCATTTTGTCTACTCGGCCCTACCCGGCAATCCTATACTTCGACTTTCCTCTTTCAGAGAGCGAGTGCACGATCCAGCAATGTGCGATCGCTACGCCGAACCTGGTATCATTTGTCTTGCCTAGCTTATCGTTGTGTATCCGGCGGGAAGTCTTTTTGGGTGAAACTTCCCCCGCCTGCGGTCCATGCACCATTTGCTGTCCAAAGTTCTTCCTCGCACCAAGAAACACTGTTCTCCGGGTAGCGGGGGTGGATGCGAAATTCAAAGATGCCGGCGGGTACCTTGTCCCCAGGTACATCGCCGCATTCAGAGTTGCTTATATTCCTTGTTTACTTTGCAAAGGGGGTGGCGAAGGTTGTCGATTCCAAAGATACATCTCAACGGGGTTTGACACATGATGGAGTTCTCCAGGAAACATAGATTCTATGCCTTCGTAGCCGAAATTGATGAAAGCATGGTCGTACTGTTTCTGTGTCCTTGTACATGCGCTATCCAACCGTTCGAAATTGTCGTCTATTAGAGCTTGTCGAACAATTCCTCTCGTCTCAAGATGTTGGTGTTGTTCCGGTGCAAAACGATCGTTCAAGAGGTGTTCGACACAGTGACTTACTCACTTATTTTGCGAAGGTACTGCTGTTCGACAGGTTCCACAAGGCCTATCCGTCGTTCTTAGGCAAGGCCCCATTTGTGGTTGTGCTGCATCCTTTCCGCACCAGGTATCGGTCGCACCTCAACCCACCCTCGACTTCACCAAACAGACTCAGAGCCAGCAGGAGAGCAAGACCGCTGAGCTCGGACTTGCACCGCCCGCGGCGCACCCACGGACGCCACCCCCCGCGTACCACCCACAGTCGCCACCCCCGGCGTACCGACGATAATTTGTCGTCTTCCGCAAACGTGGCGGCCGGTAGTTGCGACCGGAACAAAATCGTGACAGATACCAACCAATCCTGATAGCAAGGTCACCGCCGAAGAGACGCCCATGATGTCGTCCTTTGGCAACGGGACACTCCTGTCGGGGGTGCTATAAGGCTATGTATCGGGGAGGGTACTGGTGGATGTAGGTGGATCGCCCATTTTGCAGCGTGTCGCATGGTTTTTGTTCTTGCCTGCAATTCTGTAGCATGTGGTGGTGGGTAGGTGAACGGCAGATGTATATGCTGTAGTCTATTGTAGTGGAGACGGAAGCCAGTGACGGAAGTCGGGATGTGCAGTTTATCGGCGATTGTCGCGACAGAACACCCACCAGTGGTGCCAACCTATCTTGACAGAGTCGCGGTCGCGGTTGACTGTGATGGAGAAGCCGCAGCCGGCCACATAACCGTGCGGTCTATTGCGAACGGTAGCCACGCCATGAGTGTGTGATCTGCTCGAGTGCGTCAGAGCGACCACGACCGGCGTTGTCAAACTGCCTCAGGCGGGCGTTTCGTGGTAGTCGCTGTTCGACCAACCTCTGCACTGGTACGTACAATGTGTTGCCTTCGCGAGAACTTTGCTTTGCATTTATCTTTGAAAGTAATTCACGGAATGAAGAAGAGAAGATGAGCCATCTGGACAAGTGTGGAGGAAGGATGGGCTGCACGATATAGGATGGGACGGGTAGAGTTTACAGTGTTTCGGAATTCTTGCGGGACATGCGTTGTTTGGCGTTGGCAAAGGCGATTTACTGCTTATGAGAGTGAGCATTTGTTTTTCTGTATTTTTGTGTCGTTTTTGGTGTTGACGCTCCTGATCTACTATCTAGTGCCGATGGTACCGATGATTCACAGGCTTGTTTATTGCTGGTTTGCTGTCACGTAGCGCAGTGTGTACGTTACGGGCGTACGCTTCGACGAGGTATGGATAGTCGACCTCGCAACATGTCATTCGAAAGAACAGTGCTTATTCCTACTTGTCGTCTGGCGTCTTATCGTGTATTGTGAGTTCCTTTGGGGTACACGACGGTATTCTGAACTGCCCCGCGAAGAGGGCAGGGTGACAGCAAGATCAAATATCTTGTTTTTACTATTTTCGGTCCTCCCCTTTGAGTCCATCTTGGGCAAAGGAGTACACGCACCGCCCCGGTTTGCTTTCGGTTTGCTTACATGCACAGTAGTTGGCATCCAGACATATATGAATGCCGCGATCAGCATATATATTTTGGAGTGAAATTTGCTTCGTAGGTTACGACAGACAGTGAAACCGATAAGAAAGGAGAAATTAGATTATAATGTGTGATTCGGAAGAAAGTGAAAAGGATCAACGGCAACGATGCCCCAGGTGTGTTTAGGCTTCTGATGCGATTCAACGAGGGGAACATGTGTGTAGAGTGGGACTGGGTTTCACACGAGGTTTGGGACAGTATTCAGACATATGAAAGCACACGATCAGCATATGAAGGAGAGTGACATTTGGCACATAGGTTACGACAATCAAACCCGAATTTAGTAAAAACTGTATGGTTCGACAAGTGAAACAGATCTATATGTGTCAACGACCTTGCGTGCATGTGTTTAGATTTCTGGTGCGATTCAACGAGGGAGACATGTGTGTGGAGTGGGAGTCGGCTTCACGCCGGCATATTTTGGACAGAAAAACCCTGGAATCCAGATATATATGAATATCACGATCAGCAAGCATATTATGGAGTGAAATTGGGCACGAAGGTTACGACAGACAGCGACACTGATTTTGGAGGGAGTCGGGACTCGGCTTCACGCAGGGACACGGGACACGGAAACCCCTGGTTACGAATGTCATGGTAGTATAGTAGTGAAATTCGCTATCCGTTTTTTTCGTGGAGCCATATTTCATCAACGACGCATACCATTTTTCCTTGGGATGTCATATTATTGTTATACCTATTCACATACAATTCTTCAACTGCGCCATGCTACTGAAGCCGCAGAGATTCGTGTCAGGTGAATGACGGTGTCCTCGACGAGGAAGCGTCGTCGCCGCTGACAGTGAAACAGGACATTCGGCAACGACGCCCTGCGAGTTGATGTCGCTGCTGATACAACCCAACCAGAGAGACATGCGTGTCGGAGTCGGGGCTCGTCATCACGTAGTGGGAGGGAGGCGCCGAACAAAATTCTACGTAAACTATAGCGACACCGCCGAGGAGTGAAAACAACACTATTCCCCCCACCTGCGACGACATCTACGTCACGGCAGAACGGCACACGGCACACCCTCCCAAGGATCCACACAAGGGCAACGCGCCGTCTAATTCTCGGGCGGATCTCGCAACCACGTGTGTATCGGTTTAGGCCTAATGACTTAAAAAGTGGAACTGCTGGGGGCTGGGAAAACAGCGCAGCAAGCGCATTGGGGGTGGTTTCGAAGATTTAATTAATAAACCGGTGCCGTAGATATCTAGATACCCGCTATGCCGTATGCACACGTACGTGCGGTGATGTTGCTGCGGTCACCTTCTTTGGTGCATCTCGGGACTAAAAAAAATGTCGGTTTGGGTCTAACGAAGGTTTGTTGTGGAACAGCTGATGGGGGACAGGGGAACAAAGCGCAGCAGGTGATTTCGTGCCCATCAGAGGTGGTTTCGAGATTTTCAAACGGTGTGGTAGGATGGATGGACAAGCTTATCCTAACCGCCGAGGTGGTGCCGTGACAGCACCTTGGGGGCGTTTCTCGTCAAGCACCGGTCATTTTCGGGCCGAACGAGGGCTTGCGTGTAAGCTGACACCCCATGGCGAACACCGTGAGGTGGTTTTGAAACCTTTCGAGCGGTGTCGTAGGAAAGAACGAACGACACCGATGTCGAAAATGGCTCTCTACCGTTTACGGTTTGATCGATGGGCAGGGCCGTATGTGGCGCGCTCACCCACCCTCACCCACTTGCCCCACGCCCAGGACAGTGAGCACCGTAGTATAGGGTAAACCATTGGAGAGAATGCCGAAGATCGTTCGGAGCCGAAAACATTAGGACCGCAAGGGTCGCTTGAAATCACCATTCATTATATTTCACAATCAAAACCCGCCGAAAACACATCATGATCGTGCTGAAAGCCCATCGCAACAAGCTATAGGTACCTACAGAAAACGATGCAGTAAAACGAATGCTTTGCTGAAAAGACACAAAACAACGTCGAAGACAACACAAACCGACGACTACGGTGAAACGTCCAGAATTTTCTCTGGCCTTTTTTCTTGGAAACCTGGGGTCACCGGGAGAAACTTGCTAAACCGTCTCTTGTCATTCCATTGAGGTACAGTTTCCTATCTTCCCAACGCGTACTGATATACATACATCCGAAAAGCGACTCGACGCATCAAAAACAGAAAACTTTTTCAAACGAAACCCTGGCCTGTATCGGCACTGATATCGATATCAGCGTTCGACACAACTAGATATAATAGTCCTTGTCAAACGTCACGTCAACGAAGTAGTAATCTTCCCGCACTCCGGTGCGAAGGAGTACCTTTCATCGCCAAAGAACTGCAGCGGCCCTTCGCAGACACCATTGCACGGGCTACAACCTGACCCGTGTCCCCTGCGTACCGCGCACAATCTCGCCCTCACCACCATCTTCAATCATGACTCGCACTACTATTGTAATAACATATGATGAGGACACACCATCTGGCCTTGGTCAGGGTGAAGACTGGAACAAAAGCCGCGTTCGCTTCCTTTCTCTACATATAACGCAAAGTCGACTCTATTCGGTCCACTTACGCCGAAGTTTGGTGTTTGTGGTACTGTTGCGTTCCGCGTGTGACATAAAATACTTGACGCCGTACTGAACATTCTCGGATACATATTTTCCTGCACACCGGCCGGGCACTAAAACACACAGAGTGCGTGACGGCCAAGCCCAGAATTCCGTGTACCCGTAACAGCAATTGTTGTGACTGATTTCAGGTAGCGGTTATCAATCAATCACCGAGCGATTCCGACTGCACCCAGTCGCGCATACATCGTGACCGGAGTCGATGTCCTCGGACTCTGGCAGGCCGACGTGTACAAATTTGCCCGATCACACGTTTCCGCTGTACGGAGGTGGTGCCTGGGCGTGGCCAACATACTGAGGCTGAGCCTGAGGCGCGTGGTGCTTCATCTGGACGCCGTGGTTTGGTGCCATGACCTGTCGCATTGCAGTCCAGAAGCAAGGAACGAAAGACGGCGGTTGGTGTTTGAGGATGGCGCCGTGCGCACGACGCGGAGGAATTGCGAGATAGAGAGTGGGGCCGGGGGGGCTACAGAGAACGCTCATACAACAACGGGTTTTCGCTGCTCTACTATGTTTCAGTAGACAAGGGTGCAGAGAAGCCATCGAATCGTCAGATAGTCGAGGGGCATCGAAATAGAGTTGCATAGATGGGAGGCTGCAATCAGGGGTTCTGGGAATACTCAAACGTGTGGAGTCTGACATTGTCTCAGGTTTATCCTGGTTCCGAGGCCGACAAGCACGTTGCTAACCTCTCCACCCTCCTCTTGAGGGAGGTGACTCCCACGAGCAAGGAGAATGTGGGTTCATACAAACAAGTGCTGCTCTAAGTGGAGTCGCCGGTTGAGGCTTATTACCCGCTTTCCGAGGGCAGGCGTTCGATCTCGGCACAGAAGGCAAACCACATGCCAGATGGAAGGCTTGGTATCGTAGGTCGGAATAGTGGTGAAGCTATCAAATTTGCCACGATTCCATTGCGCCGTCGAGGGAACCGCCGACGTAGGTATAGTGGAATCCGCCCGTTTGCGTGGGTTCGTGAGAGGCCAAGTCTAACCGAGAAATGAAAAAATCTCATGCCAGGAAATCAGCAGCAACGACAGAGAACGCGAACACTGACATCAAGTACGAGTTTCGTGGAGGAAAGATACAAACATTTTTCGTGCCCCCCCCCCCCCCGTCGTAGCGGACAAGACACACACCACCTACGATTCCTATTTATTGTCATTTCACTCAGTGCTCTTATGCCGAGACTCACTTGGGCACCTCCGGGCATGGGCGGGCCCATCGCGTCTGGGGCGCCGCTCTTCTCCCAGTTGCATATAGCAAGGAAGATGAACACGATCGCGACGATGAAGGACAAGGCGCCGAGCGCAGCGGGCAGAGCGAACCACCCGACGGCGCTGGAGAGCTCGGAGCCGTTGTAGTAGTAGTTGTCTGATGTTGCATAGGCGATCCTGGAATGGCGAGAAAGAGGCGAGAGTCGGGAACTCACTGGGCTCACGGGCTGGAGAATCAAGCATCAACCCTCTACTCACGCCACGGGTTCGCCGACAGGCCTCTTTACTGTCTGCAAGTTGACCATCTCCCTACCTGGTGCCAAATTGTCCTGTGATATTTCATGGCCCCCTGGGTTGTGTGCAATATTTGGAAAAAATGTGCGACAGCAGTAGTCTTGCCACCGTTTTTCCACCCCAGCCCCGCGTCGGAAGAAAATCGAGCAACAGTCTATCGCTACACATTACAAATGGGCGTGCTTCTAATCCACTTTCCCGGGTTGCACTGCACTCAGACGTGCAGTTCAAGATATTATATTAGGGTAAATCAAAGCGTAGTTATTCCAATTTGGCTACACAATCGAGAAGAAGGTGGACACGTGAGCTAGGATTATGTTTGCACCCCAATATCTCACCAAGCTGCCATCGAGACCAGGTCGAAGATGCACCCGAGGATGAACAGGGAGCCAGCGACGATGTATGTGCACTTGTTGAACTGGCACAGGAGGATTCCTCCCATGATGAAGCTGATCAGACTCGCCAGCCAAATGCCCCACAAAATCCAGCCGAACGCTAGAAGGGCGATCGCATGAACGACGATGGTGGCGATGGTGGCCCCCCTCGACTGAAGAGACAGCAAAGGAATGACACGATGTTCGGGGCAACAATCATATTCGAAAGGACTCTTGAAATTTTGAACGATGAATGTAGCTGGAGTACACGATAACACACTACACCTGATATGCTAATCGTTACCGAACGTATGCGGATGCATTTACCAACAATTGCCCACGGAGGTCGAAGACGAAAACAACACGTATCAGGTAACATATTTATGAAAGTTTGCAAGTTTAGACACACAATTGGGCGGCCGACTTGGGTTGTGGTATGCTGGGATCACTAAAATACCACCACACGGGGGTAACCAAGGCGCCATGCATTCTACTGCCAAGAAGAGGCCTGACTCCGCCGTCATCGGGCTTCACATTATTAGTGGATAAATCATCAAGAAAGTCTCGTCAGTCCTTCGGCCGTGCAAAGTGGAACCGCGACGGACGCTCTTGAAAAGAACGAGTGCGGGTGGGCATGTTGCGTGTTTTGAATCGATTCGTGAGCTTCAAGGTGTTGTACCAAATTCAAATTATTGAAGATCGGGTGAAATCTTGTTGAAGATAGGGTGAAATCTTGTACTGTCTAACCGGTTCCGTAGGACAAGCGTGAGGATATGTTGTACAGGTTGGTCTGTTCCAAAGATGGCTATGTACACCCATTGGGCATCAGACTCTTGAATATTAATATTTCGAATGGTGATGCTTCGTTCAGGTTCTTGACTGCTGTGTCGAAGTATATGCCAAGAGAGGCTGTCTCTTATGGTATTCTGTATTGCTCCAAAATCAAGTGTCCAGGGGTCAAGGAAAATGGCTCCAGTCGTGTACTTCGAAATACTGTGCTGTGGTTTCCTCAAGAGCAACGGAAAACCCCAAAAAAACAATCACATTAAAATGGGACAATGAATGAATCTGGTGCAGATCTTGGGCAAGATTGGTCAAGAGTCATGGGCCTTGACAGAAATCTTTGGCCCGAGACCCCTGTCAATCCGAGCATCGCGACAAATCTTGTGGGTGCGGCGAGAATACGATTTTTCTGACGTACAGTTACCGCCCGCAATTAAGAAACGCTTACCGTATATGACACAAGATAACACACCCCCTGGGCCGATTTTCAAAGCTCGATTTCTCAACAGCAGGAAGAGTCACAGCGCCGAAAACGGCGGCGTTGGAACCGTCTCGTCGAGAGATTTTCGAAAATGTATTGTTTCGTTTATGCATCCTCTTGGTCGTGGAGTAATCGAGCTTTGAAAATCGGTCCAGGGGGTGTGTTATCTTGTGTCATGTACGGTATTTCAGGTCCAGCCTCGAATTCTCATTGTGGGCTATAAACTCAGCGTATGTCATTCAATTTTTTTGTGCCGCCAAATGCTGTTGAATTTCTTGAATCGGCAATTTCTTATTTTCTCTTCTTGCTTGAATACAAAACGTTCAAATTAAACAAACGATTGCCCTCACCAGAGCTGGCGGAGAGCACCATCAACACCGTACAGCAGACAACATATCGCTGTTCGCAGCCTGTCTGGTGTGCTGTGCCAGAGCTTTAGCGCCAGCAGAGCAGAGCGCAGAGCCCGCAGGGGGCCGGAGGGGGCGCCGCAAAAAAAACACTCCCCCCTCGGTGTACAACTAAAAATAATAATGCACTATGGGAGGGGGGGGGTAGGGGGGTAGGGGGAAAGACCGAGAGAGCTGTGGGATTTGTTTTTTATTCGACACACATACTCCCCGTAAACCCTCGTTTCTTATGTAGTAGGGCAGCGGTCGCTGCTGTGTCTCTTATTGAGACATTTCTTTTTGTGTGACCCAGATTGAGCTATGTTTCTCAACCCTATTTTCTTATTTTTCGTGAAAAAGTGAGCCTATATTTCTTTCAAAAATATTTATTTCTTAATTGCGGGCGCTAACTGTACAGATGAATTTTAATTTGCCCGAAAGTCTCAACCCTTTCATTCTTCCAATTCTCGTGATCTTTTGGCTTTGGATAGATTTCGGGTATTGAACAGCAGTGTACATAGTGCATCTCTCCTGGAAACTTTAATGTGTACTTGTATCTTGCAATCGCAAGATCCGAGATCTTGTCATTACAAGGGACGGGTGCTCACAACATCAAACTTAAGAATTATTTCTTTGGACACGAACAGCAAACAGCAGCGACCACGTCTGAAGTCAGTCTGAGCACCAAAGTATGACGAGCAGTACCACCCCCGATAGGTAACAGACGGTACGTCCGTGGGATCATGTAGCACTGCTGTCACCAAGTGTCTGGCAGACACTGAGCTCACACAACATCAGTGTCTGATGCAGCGCAACGGTGTCTGCCGTGCAGCCACTTAAAATGCAGAGTTACATCGGACACCATCTCGTGCGCAATCTTGAAATGTTTGTGCCGGTCGGGAAGAGAAAAAAGAAACAACCATTGCAAGCGAGATCTTTATCTCTCCGGCTGATCTCTCTCCCGTGTGATAAAACATTTTTTTACCGCTGCCAACTGCTGCTGTAAATTCATCTCGTTCTTCATTTATGTTTTCGCGAATGAACGGCAGTACCATATGCTATCATATGTACAATATAAACGACAAACGGAAAATATTTCCGGGGGTACCGGCGACCTCGTTGTTTCTCCAATAAATCTACTTGTGTATGCATACCACAGACCGTCGTGTACGTCAACCAGTTTGCCGTGAGAGTCAGCGAGAGGATGGCAATAAACTCGCGACCCCCTCCGCACCACATCAAGATGGGATCCTAGGGAACACGAAGTAGGAGGGGGGAAGAGGTAGTGGCGGTAGGAGCTGACCGGGTATCTCTATCTGGCTGGTCTGAGTACCGGCACAGCAGTGATCCAAAAAAAGCACGTCGGCGATGAAGTGATTCTGCCAAATAAAATACAAATAAATATGATTGATACCTGTATTCCACCGATGCATACCACATTCGAGGCTTGCAGCGGCTTCCGCGCGGCATCACACGAATTCCAAGTTGAAGCGAATGCTGTTGTTGTTGTAGATTGCTCCACGACAACGAGCGTTCCACAAGTGAGAGGATAAAGATGCGCAAACAACCGTCTGCTCGAAAAAAGTCTCGACGACGCAGTTCCAGCGTCGCCGCTTTCGGCAACGCCACCTTCTCTACGATACGACAAGTCTAATCATCGGGCCAAAGGCGTGACAAACCAACCGCGACCTGTGCGTCGGAGTGTACGAGTGACCACAGGCATCTCGGAATCATTCGATTGTCGGTTTGAGCGGCGGTACACTATGCATAACAGTACACAGTACGGCGAGCGTTTGATGTGTAGAATGGGCGTGCCTGCAATGCTTGTCTGTGGTTGCACTGAGATCAATAGAACGGTCGGTGCACGAACAGCCAGCCTGCTAGTTTCGTCGTTGCACGGTGACACGAAGAGCAATATCGAAAATACATGTTGTAGAAATAAAAATGCTCGGAAAAAAGAAAAAAATAAAAAAAATTAGCTGGCGCCGAGCGAGAGAGAAGAAAAAAATATAGCTGGCGCCAAGCTGTGGCTGGCGCCGAGCGATAGAACAATTGTTACTCTTCATGGGAGGATGTACGATGACATCCTCAACAAAAGTGACCCCACGTGACCCGCAGCAGTAGCAAAGTTCACACAGCTTGGTATGTCGAGGATTTGCGGCTACTATCCGTCAGTGGTGTACAGAATTCTGGTGTCAGTTGATGAAGGGGATTGCAAGCTGCGAGCTTTTTCGAACGCATGGATGTAGACGGCCGAAGAGCCATCTGCCAAACCTTTCTGCAGCTTTCTGTCCTCTCTAAGCGCGCGACCAACAAGACACAGTCCAAGCACGACCGACTGACGATGGAACTGAGAGCAGAGCAAGAACAGGCAGTACCCCAACTCTCCGCCTCATCTGCAAAGAAAAACACTTCGTTCGGTCAATTTTTCGAACCCAAAATCATCATCATACGACACAAAACCGCTACCTAACCACATGATATTAGACTCACCCCGCGCACGTGTCCGCTGACATTTGGGGGGACGGTGCAGCTGCACCCATTCTGCGCATGGACCACCGTAGTGGTGGGAGGCACGGCGATTACCGTAGCAGGTTGCTGGATCGCCATAGCGGTTGGGTTGCGGATGAGGATCTAGGCGCGCGAGTCGCTGTAATGCAGGAGTTATTTGTTGTGGTGGTGTGCGGCAAGCGGTGGGTGGGGTGATCAATGGCAGAGAAGCTCGGAACAATAATCAATTGTTGTTCGGCCGCACAGCCAGCTGCCCGCAAATGAAAGAGTCGTTGGTTGTGGGTTTCGCTCTCCGCTCTCACGCTCTCATGACCCTAGGAAACTTCCTGTAGGAAATTTCGGGATGTCTCGCTCAACAGGCGGCAAAGAGGTTTTGTGGTATGTGTACGTCGAAGAAAGACAAGAGTTCTCTCTTGTGTAGATAGGCTCGTGCAGATACACGAGAGCTTCTTCTTTTCTGCCTGTAGATGATACTTCATACATAATACGGCGGTGTGCATTGCTTTGGATACCTGGCCAAACTACAGGCCATACACCTTCACGCAGCAGACAGCCACAACAGGGGAGGGGCGAAAGGCAGAAGAGTTTGACCTCAGTCTAGACGTCTACATAGACCGATAGCCAGCCATAAACTTCAGCGGCGCGACTCTCTCGCGAGTGCAAGATGGAGGTCCACCAGCAGCAGCAACAGCAGCACGTGATCCACGTCGTTGAGGGCGGCCCAGGTTGCTGCGGCGTGCCCAAAGGGGCTCCATGTTCCGTCACGGGGGTGAGAAAATGTTCCCTTTGCACGCGCTTGCTGCCCATACGTACCGTGTGGTCCCAAAGTCTGGTCTCAAAACAATTGTAAATATCTACATAAATACCAGATGCCTGCTGTGCTGCTCTGGCTGTCTCTTCCTATTCTACAAGCGGCTCTCTCACTCTTGCGTGATCTCTTCATATGTGTGCGCGCCTATCCTTTTCCATCATCTCTCTGCCTGTCCCTCACCTTTCACAATGCATCACCACTGACGAGCAAGAGGATACATGCCCTGGAGCATTTCGCTGCTGAGATCCGCGCGCATGCAGCAGCAGTAGGCCCGCAATCTCTGTCTATACTGCACTTAGATCGAAGAAGTTCGTTGTTCGCCCGCAGTATCCCGCGGCCATGTTGTCCGTCGTTTGTCCACGCACTAGAATACTCATTTGAACAGAAAACACGGGGGGTTATCTTCGTGTCAACTACTGCTGTCGGTATGCATGCATGCGAAAACACCCCCTACAGAAACCGAGCAATCCTCCCTCCTTCGTTTCCCCACCCTGCTCGCAGAGACGAGGATAGACTTGCAGAACGGGCCCGCACAGCAGTTCCCTTCAAGAAGAAACGCAACTTTATCAAACGTCACGAAAAACGAGAATAAAATTGTGGAACAAGCGCAGCTCCATCTTTGCCCACAACAACCAACAGGTTTCCGAACGAAAACAGGAGTGACCGGCTATCTATTTGCTAGGGGAGAGTGCGAGCATGAAACATGGTCACTTCTCCACCGGCGCTACCCGCCCCGCCGTGTTTTTGTACAACATTTACTTGCCGACGCCTTGCGGGGTTTGTGTGTGTGGTGAATTCGGGGCTGTGTCTTTTTCAAAATTTTGATCATTCTTCGGGTTTCGCCCGCGATTCGCTCCCACAGACAGCTTGGAGATGAGTCCTTCTATTCAAGTGCTATGCGTCCTATGTGGTTTACAAGTACTCGGTGGGTAGGTGTGTTGCTGTTATAAATACCTATGTCGTTGTATGTTCACATGAACAACCGGTCCCTGCTCAGTAACTCTAACTGTAACTGACGCCCGCCGGTCCTTAATTCGGATGCCTTCGGTGGTCATCCCAGCACCCACAAACGGTACACACCTTCTGTAACTTGAACTAAATTCTAAATGCTGTTCAAGGGAGATCATCACCTGGTTTCTCCTACACATCACCTCGAGCAAACATGCCCATACACCAAGTCGTCAAAAAACATAATTTTGCCGCCCATATTCAGGATACGATTTGTGTCATTCGGAGTGAATCCATCCGAGATCCGGTTCCTACAGCAGTAGTCATACGTCGACAATGAAAATATCCTCGCTCGGTGTGGCGGCTGTTCTGCCAGGTCGATGACAAGAACAAACTGTTTTTGTTGTTCGTCATCGTCCTCGTCGATTTGTTGTTGCCGTCAAAGAACAGGCTAAGGAGGTTCGAAAACACCTCACAAGTTAGTTACAGGATTTACAGGAAGGAGTAGTCATGTGCTCAGTACTCTGCGCTTCATCTCCTTGACTGCTGTGGGATACAGGAGTTTTGAAACTTTGCACTCCAGCAAGAGAGCCCTGGCTACAGGTTTCAATAGATTTGCGATTGCTGTGCATGAATGCGCAACTTGGACGCCCATCCTTTAACCCCCTTACCACGCACAGAAAATTCGGCGGTCTTGCGAAATTTCTGAAATGTAAGATAAAGAGCGAACGACGCCTGCTGATTGGATGGTGCAGACAGTTCCATCCCTGGGTGCACGTGCAAAGCTGCCTTCCCACTTGAGCCGTCTCTTGTCTATAATCCCTATCAATTGTCCCCTCGATACGAGGGGACAATTGATAGGGATTATAGACAGCAACTGGCGGAAGCGTGGTAAACGGGGCACGAAAAGGAGGTTTTCAAGATATTTCCCTAGAGGGAAAGCGAGACCTTCTAACTCAAGCCCTAGGTTGCTTGGTGCCTCCTATCAACGGTGGTCTAGGTACTTCTTCCGCGCTTGCCCCTGGTAGTGCTTTCCACCCAAGGGTAAACAGACGCGGCGCAACTTCGCTGTTGAACCGGCGGCGTAATCGCCCCGCGATTCGACCTGTTCATTACTCATTACCCTCATACTCCTCCACTCTACAAAGCATCCATACTAGACTAGAGTCGTCCCTGTGTACCCTGGCACCCCCCTGGTCGAGTAGTGCAAAGGAGGAGACAATCATGACAATCTTCGCGAGGTAAAGCAGGCGAAGAAGATGGGGACAAAAAGTGTCCCCAAAAGGCGCTCCAGCCCTAAAGGGGTTAACGCTGAATCCATTCCGCACTCGAGAAGCTTTGGAGCTGTCCGTGTGTTTTCGGTCGGAGTTCGACGTTTCCACTTATTATTGTAAACAAACCTGGTTCTTCCGAAACGTCTCACAAATACCCGTCCACAGGTCGCCCTAGTCGGTGCTGGCACTTATCGGGTTCCTCCTATTTCCCGCGATATCGTTCGGGGATCCCGTGAACGATCGCCCGGCCCGACCCGAAAAATATCACCCCACAAAGTATGAAAATATGTTC